TGATGGCCATGTAGGCTGTTTCCATGTAGTATAATTTTTTTTTAAAATCTTTTGATTTTTTTTGGACTCTTTGGTGGGCTCACCACCAAGCTCCCAGATAAATCACATACAGAGGCTTATTCTTAGTTGGGAATGCCCAGCCTTAGCTTGGTTTGTTTCTTGCCAGATTTTCTTAACTTAATTGACCCCATTTATCTTTGGTCTTGGTGCTTTTGCCTTTATTCCTGTATATCTTTTCTTTCCTTCTTACTCCCTGTCTGGCTGTGTAGTTTGGTGGCTGGCCCCTGTAACCCTCCTCCTCTTTCTCTCGGTCCTGAATCTTTTCCTTTCAGATTTCTCGTATTTATCCTCTCTGCCTCCAGCCTATCCTCTCTCCTGCCTAGCTATCGGCCATTCAGCTCTTTATTAGATCATCAGGTGTTTTAGACAGGCAAAGAGTCACAGCTTCACAGGATTAAACAAATGTAACACACCTTAAAATAATATTCCCCAAGATTCCCATTTCTTTGTTACTACAACTGCTACTGAAATTCCAATCTTCACTGTACACCTGCTTGTATTTTTGTGAAGGGTTGACCCAAGTACAGTCACTGGGTTGTGTGGTGATCCCTTCATTTTTGAGGAGCACCTAAGTTGGAGCTGAACCCACTTTACATTCCCTCCAGCAGGGTGCTGAACCTTGCGTCCTGGCTGTCAGCTGAGGTTTCCTTTAATAAAAGCCTTGCAACACATTCTTAGTCCTGAATTCTGGTTGATCCTCTTTTTCTGTCTTTTCCCTCATTAGGCCTCAACCTAATCCAGATAATCACTCTCAGATTTCCTTCTCTCTTCCTTTCTATCTCCAAGTCTCTGAAGGAAGGGTCTTCTGACTCCAGGTATTTCAAGTTATTCACACACTAACAGGTGGTTGTTGTTTTTTGTTTGTTTTGTCTTGTTTTTGAAACAGGATCTGCTTTGAACTTATGATCCTCCTGCTTCATCTTCCCAAGCGATAGATTATAGGCATGCATCACCACACCTGGTGCTAAAGGTTTTTATTGTCGCTTCCATTAATCTCCTTTCTTATTTGCTTTCTGCCCACAAGAATGTCAGATACCTTATCCCAGGGTCATGAACTGGCTTTTTTGGAGCGCACTTCCTATGGTGGGTTACCTTTCTCAGCCTTGATACAGGGGAAAGGGGCTTGGTCCTGCCTCAATTTGGTATACCAAACTTTCCTGACTTCTCAAGGAAGGCCTTATAAGCTCTGAGGAGTGGATGGGGGGGGTGAGAAAGCTGGGAGGCAGGGGGTAGAGGAGGGATGGGGAGTTGGGGTTGGTATGTAAAATGAAAAAATTTAAATAAAAAAGAATGTCAGATACTAATTCCTAATTGGCAAAGCCCCCCCCCAAGAACAGAACAGTCCATAACACTCACTGGGTTGTGCCCTACCTACATGTGAAGGTGGAGAGAGATGAATAGGGACTGATATTTCTCAAGGCAGGGTGTCTAATCTGTGTTTTCTGTGCTCAGATCCATGTGAGTCATGGCATAGCTAATGATTGCTGACTCCTAAGCTCTAAGAATGACAATATGTACATTTTTTTCCTAATTACTTCTATCTGTTTAAATCACAAACTCTTAAAACAGCTCTACCTTGTCTAAAATCAGGAAAACAAGACAGTAGCTAGAAATGGGTGGATGGAAGGAAGTTGTTTTTGCTGATAGCTAAGTGTGCACTGGTGCTGATGATGTCACCCTCAGGTTATATTGTGGCTCACACACTGGGATAACATTCCATCCGGATTTGTACCAAGCCTTGTTATGACTAAAGACAAAATTCACGGGAACTTTCTGCCCTAGGGCATGTGTTTTGAGAGACTGTGGCTATAGTGTCATCCTCCCCCCCCCCCCACACTTATCTTCTTTACTGGAAAGAAATGCCACTTTTCAGGGCAGCTAAAGAGATGTCATATTGAAATTATCAGAAAACTGGGCATGGTGGCACATCCTTGGAATCCCAGTACTGGGGAGGCAGACACAGGTGCTTCTAGTCTGTATACCCCTGGGATCCTTAGCTAGACCACTTCCAAAAACAAAAGACAACAGTAATTGAACATGACATGGTATTTTAGCATTAAGAAGATGTTGGCACTATTCCTATGTTAAAGATCTCTTGGATTTCTTTATAGGTGCCAAAGATCTTCCTGAAATCTATGAAGCATTTGAAAACATGCATCCTATTCTAGCTGGGTGGTACATGCCTTTAGTTCCAGCACTCGGGAGGCAGAGGCAGGTGGATCTCTGTGAGTTTAAGGGCAGCCTGGTCTACAGAGCTAGTTCCAGGACAGGTTCCAAAGCAATATAGAGAAACCCTGCCTCAGAAAAAAAAAAGAGAGAAAGAGAGAAAGAAAGAAAGAAAGAAAGAAAAGAAGAAACGAAGAAAGAAAGAACAAGAGAAAGAAAGAAAGAAAACAAGCAAGAAAGAAAGAAAGAAGGAAGGAAACAAATATCCTATTCTGAAAGGTTTTTAAGAAAGCTTGAGTGTGTCACTGGGCTCCTTGGATCATAGTGACTTGGATTTGTGTACAACAGAGAAAGAGCTGGTTTCCTCTGCACATTATTGTAGTAGTCTCTCATGTTTTCTGTCAGCCACCAGTGTCTGTTGTTTTCTATTAGTATGCTAATAGGATTGTGGGGTTTTTGTTTGTTTGTTTGTTTGTTTGTTTGTTTTGTGTGTGTGCCTTGTTTTTGAAACAGGGTCTGCTGTGTAGCCCAAAGTGCACTTGTGTGGTTCTGTGTGGACAACCATACTGAAGAAATGGAAATTTCTTGCTCAAAATGACTCATGTGTTATTTAATTTAAAAAAATGAAAGAATAAAGTTATTCCAGAATTTGAAATATTTCAGGCTTTGCAAGACTTAGGTATTAAAGTCAATGCTTTATTCTTAAACATGTGATACATTAAAAAGTGTTCTCTGAAAACAGCAATACAGAAATTTCAAGTACTGTATATCTGGATACTATCTGTACTACAACAGCTATCAGTCAAAATCATGTATATCTTGCCTTTTGAAGTGTAGAAGAGATACATGCATGCTGACCACCCTTTGGTAACAGAAGGTTGCCTTGGGAGAGTCAATGAAATATCCCAAACCTTAAAATCATGTGTTTGACATGATCATATAAAATTGTTTATTTTAGCCTCCCCCCGCCAGCATCTTAGGGAGACTGCAGGGGTCATCGCCACTCTCCATCATGCCTCTTAAGGATGACAAGAGAAAGATGCTGAAAAGTCAGCCAAGAAAGACAAAGACCCAGTAAATAAGTCTGGTGGCAAAGCAAAAAAGAAGTGGTCCAAAGGCAAAGTTCGACAAGCTCAACAATCTAGTCCTGTTTGGCAAAGCTATGTATGACAAACTCTGTAAGGAAGTGTCCAATTACAAGCTTATTACTCCAGCTGTGGTCTATGAGAAACAGGTTCCTCGACCAGAGCAGCCCTTCAGGAGCTAATTAGTAAAGGATTTATCAAGCTAGTTTCAAAGCACAGAGCCCAAGTAATTTACACCAGAAACACAAAGGGTGGAGATGCCCCAGCTGCTAGTGAAGATGCATAAACAGGTTCAATCAGCTGTACATTTGGAAAAATAAAACTTTACTAAGTAAAAAAAAATCTGTTTATTTTAAAATCTTAAACTTTCAGGAACCATTCAAGGTTAGAGAAACTATTTGGAAAACAATATAGGGAATTTGAGTTTTTAAAAATTAGTTTTCTAATTCTACCTAATTGTATTTAAACAGACACTGGAGAAGGGGCAGAGTTCAGACCAAAGATCTAACTAGGCTGTTATCACCAACATTTGATGACTAGCATGGGAAGGTTGACAGGTAAGAAAGGAACTCATGTGTTTCAGGCTCTAAACCCTACATGGCTACTAACCTTGCCCTTTCTAAGGCAGACTTGAGTCCCAAAGTGGATTATGAGGAAATATCAGTTGGTGCTTAGGAGGCCGCTCTGAGTGCTGGGCTGTGTGACTTGGAGAAAACTCAGCTGGAGAGAATTCAGTTTTCATCGATGGACAGCCTGCTGAAGCCATCCCCGAGAATCACTGGTCCTACTGGACCTGCAGCCTCCCTTCTCTGTTCCCCCCTGGTTTAGAGGCACAGAGGGACCTCCTCTCTCTGTAAAAACTAGAGGAAATCCTAAGCGATGAGCTAGAATTCTCTTAGAGCACTGCCAGGGGATGGGGGAAGTTTTCTAATTGTGCTGGTGGTACATGCCTGTAATCCCTTCTACAGGACCCTTCCACAGGAGGATTGGGACTCCTGGTAAATGGAGGCTAGGCAGAAGGCAGTTTTCAAAAAAAAAAAAAAAAAAAAAAAAAAAAAATATATATATATATATATATATATACAACTTTGATTTGCTATGGAGGTTTTTGATTAACCCGTTCGGGGTTATGGAGGTACAGCAATTATATTCACGAACTCGGAGCAAGACAGGTAGAGTTGTTAAAGGATTTTCCTTCAGATCCCACAACTCCTAAGGAGGAAGTTGAGTCAAACTTCAGCTAGTTCCAAGATCCAATTAATTCTCTCCCAACTTTGCTTCATGGAAAGTTTAGCCAAAACCTAAAAGTAACCTTAGTGAATGAAAAGAATTCCCTTGTTATGTTTCCGCGCTAAAACCTAAAAGTAACCTTGGTGAATGAAATGAATTCCCTTTCTGTGTTCCCGCGCCTTCCACAGAGGATGCTTGGGGTATCCATTACTACACTTTGCGTAATGTACCAGCTTCGCACAGCTCCACTCAGCGGGCCAAACTGCGCAGCCGCCTCGGAGAACGCGGAGGAAGACCTGGGGATCCAGCATCCCGGGACAGTCGGCCTCGGGTCCCGCCCCGAGCCTCTGGGCCCCGCCTCCGTCCTCTAGACGCCCCTCCCCTCCCTGCCCCGCCTCCAGGCCCCGCCCCGGTCCCAGGCTCCGCCTCCGTGCCCAGGATGCACCTGGATGAAAACAAAATCCCACGTGACTGGCCCTGCGCTCAGACTATCATGGCGTCTCCCAGTGGGAAGGGATCCTGGACGCCCGAGGCTCCTGGCTTCGGGCCGCGGACGCTACCTCGGGACCTGGTGGACTCGGTGGACGACGCCGAGGGGCTATATGTAGCGGTCGAGCGGTGTCCACTGTGCAACACCACTCGTCGGCGGTTGACTTGTGCCAAGTGCGTTCAGAGCGGTGATTTCGTCTATTTCGACGGCCGCGACAGGGAGAGGTACGGCGGCCGCCACGGCCCTATTGTTTCTGCCTCTGTGTTTCTCTGCTCCTGCGACCAGAGACTAGAGCCTGGACAACCCAGTCCAGGGCCCGGCGACTGTGGAAGGAGAGAGTGTGGCTGTTCTGCGCCGGCGCTTTGTTGCCACTGGGTAGGGTGGGGGTGGGAGCCAGGTGAGCGAAGGTCGCTGTTCTCCCATCACCCACCAGAGAGTTTCTCCACGGCCCTCTTGGGTACTAGGGAAAAGGAAATAGTGTCCTTCTGGAGAAGTCTCTGCTGCTATGTAGAGGAGTCTTAGCTCTTTCTGCACTCCCACTTAGAAGCTTGCTTTAGTTTTCTCATCTTAAGACGTCTATGCTTTTCTTCAGAAGGGACTGGTAGAGAATTGGTTAGGAGGGGTTGGGTCCTGGGTTCTCTGTCACAGGTGGACCTTGTCAGCTAGCTCTAAACTGTGAGGACTAGGAGGTCGCCTCAGGTGATTTTGTGACACTGGGGAGTTGGGAATATATTTTGAGTTGCAAGCCTTTAGTTAAAATAATTGAGTTTAGTAACCTAACTTTGTTTCAACAATGAGTTTCAAATGATAGTAAAACAGATAATTTTTGTTTGATTGATTTGTTTGTTTGTTGTTTTTGAGAGTGTCTCACTATGTAGCTTTGGCTGTTCTGGAACTCACTATATAGACCAGGCTGACCTGACTCGCAGTGATCCACCTGCTTCTGCCTCCCAAGGTCTGAATATAAAGGTATGTGTCACAATGCCTGGATAAGACAGGTAATTTTTTTTTTTTAGCATTAAAGTTAAAGAATTTATTCCTTTACAGCAACCACATAAGTTATCCTCAACTTACTATTGAGACTTGTACATTAGTAAGTACCTTGACCCGGAGTCATGCAGAATGAAAGCCCAAACACCTGGATCCATGTACCTGTGCATTTAACTGCTAAACTATACAACATAGAGATTTGGGGATGTTTTGAGTTCTCAGTATTCCTATGATCGTGGGTGGGCTCATCTCTTTTTCTTTTGAAGATATTGGTGTAACAAAATCTTTCTAGTTCACTGCTGTGTTTTATGGATGAGTTTGGTGATTTTAGACCATGGACAGCATGGACAGCAGTTCTGTTTTAAGAAAACCAGGTAGGAGATGGGAATGTCTAGTTGTTGAACCTTATCAAGTATTTAGCATCTACACTTTCCTAGATTTATTCTTGTAATTTTAATACTATGTAGATGCTGAAGATGAGCAGTCTTGGATCTCCAACCCAGACCTCTAAAGTCCAGAACACAGCTGCTCAACATTTGTATTTGATTCTCCCTTTTCATCACCTGTATTTAAGTTTGTGTTAGTTAATTTGTTTTAACATGACAATCTGAACTTCAAATTTTCTGTTAAAAACATCTGTTTTTCACATCTCAATACAGTAAATTGCAATACCATCCTTCATTTAGGCCAAAAACCAAACCAAAACAACGACAACAACATCAAAAACCCTTCCAATCCTCGTTAAGGCACCATGTCTAATCCCATCTACAATTCTGTCTCTTCAAAGCCTGTCTTCAATCTAATCCTTTCATCATTATACAGACTAAGCCACTGGAATTCACTTAGTAGACAAGGCAGGTGGTGAACTCATAGAGAACGTCTCCCAAGTTTTAAAGCTAAAGGTGTACACCACCACGCTCAACCTTCTCACAGCATTTCACACATACTTATTTCTTGTTTCTCCTCCCTTCCCCATGCTCCTGCTCCCTCCCACTTGAACCTTTCTATTACCATTGTTCTTTCCACAATCATGAGTTTTGTTACCCTCCACTCCATTTCCTAAAGCCTCTTTTGTGCCCCCCCCAGCTCCTATCTGGTCTTAGCCCCCCCACACAAGCTAGGATCTGCATAGGAGTGAGATTATGCAGTATTTGTCTTTCTGTGACGGTGTTACCTTGTTTAGTACTATATTCCACCCATGTTTTCATAATTTCATTTTTATTTATGACCAAATAAACTCTCATGTATATGTACTGTGTTTTCATTATCTCTTGGTGGACATGTAGAGTGATCACCTCTAAAGTTAAATGTCACATCCTGGTTGTCCTCTTTGAGGCTGTCACTTCCATCATCCCATTTGCTGTCACAGTGCTTTTGTGGTGATGTGATGCTTCTTCCATGTGTCATGCTATTTGAGTAAAACACCAGCACCCAAAAAGGCTTCCAATGAAGGCATAGCTTCTTTTTTGGGAGGAAGAAGAAGTTTTTTGGTTTTTGTTTGTTTGTTTGTTTGTTTTGAGACAGGATTTTTCTGTTTAACAGCTCTGGCTGTCATAGAACTCACTCTAGACCAGGCTGGCCTCAAACTCAAAAAGTTCTGCCTACCGCTGCCACTTGAGTGCTGGGATTAAAGGTGTGCAACACACTGTCAAGTTAGGCACAACTTCTTGTTCTGTCACATGATCAGCTCAGTGGCAGGATGTAGCACATAGGCATGGCAGAGGTAGTGCTATTTAAACAGTCCTGGAAATGTGGCTGGGTAGTAGATGTTTACCTAGTATGTGCAAAGCCTTCCTTTGATCCCTAGCATTGCAAACTAGCAAGCACAATCTTACACAAAAATTCTCAACTAACTCAGAGTATTAAGATGAATTTTCTGAAGAGGGATGTGTTTATAGTGTATTTCTTTCCCTTACTAAGCAGAAAAATGAAGAGCAAGTGCCTCACTCATGTACATTTTATAGGACCACCACAGTGTTTTACTGGTGAGCTTCCCTTCACTCTCATCCTTCACTTTCTTGAGCTATGTGTGCCTTCAGAAGCAGTTTGTCAGTCTTCCTTTGTTTCCAGAACATTACCCAGTGTCTAATAGGATGAAAGAATCTCTAGAGAGCCAGGACCACTGGCCTGGTAGCCAGCTGCTTTTCAGGTGTTCATGTTGGATTCCAGAACATGTATAAACTATCCTGGCAAGTTGCTGAGGAGAAAGCCTGGCCTGCTTTCAAGGATTTGGCTGGTTCTAGCAGGCCTCAAACCTAGAGCAAATGTTGCTTGTGTTACTGTCTTCATTATCTGTAAATAATCTGTATTCTGTGCCTGCCTTTGGGCTCTTTTTCCTTTCAACTTCATGAAAAGCCTCTCACTGCGGATCTGCTTAGAAATGAAATATGGTACAGTTAAGCCCTCACAGTACAGTTAAGCCCTTGTTTAACCTAGACCAGTTAAATATGTAGGGTTTAATAGTTGGGAAATTAGGGAAAATTAGATAGTAAAATTGTAGGTCTCACAGCAATTAGGTCCTTTGAAAGAAATATGTGTCATTTTGTTTTGGTTTCAGGGAGGTGATCTGGAATTATGTAGCCCAGGCTACTCCTGAATTTGGGTAGTCTCTCTTTCTTAGCCTGCCAAGTGCTGAGATTCTGAGTTTGCATAGGCATTAAACCCAGGTAACATGTCTTTAGGTACTACTGGAGATGGTATGAGTTTGACAGACATGGAAACAGTTCTTTTTTATTGTTCAGGAGACTGTTGGTCTCACCTCTGCCTTTCTTTTGTCAGTAGCAGCACCTGTTTTATTTTCTGCCTTGTCAACCACAGTTCCATACAGAATGAAGAGGAACACGTATCCCTTCACCACTTCTGTGATATGTAGCAGTTCTAGCAAAGTCCTCTCTGCATCTTGTGTGCTGTAGGATGTTTATGCTGTTTTAACAGGAGCCTAATTTTTCTGGAGTGTGCACTTATCTAACTCCCAAAATAGCACTGTTAAGCAATAGAAAACTGACAGGTTGAGTAATCTTTTCCCTCAAATCTGGGAAACACTTGTTGATCATTTCTCAATAGGTAGAAGACTAGGAGCGGGAATTTGGTCTGGGCAGCTGGGGATCTGCTTTCTGGGTTAGGGCCAGTGGTCTTCTAGTGGGGAGCAGAGAGAAAGACCTGATTCCTGGCCATATGGTGAGGCTTTAGAAGTACATTTATAGGAATGATGCTGTGTTACCTTCACCAATAACTTAAAAATATAAGGTTGCATCCCCCCCCCCCAAGTAGAAATACAGGGATTACCCAAATTGAGCCGGATTAAAGGTTAAGGAAAAGTTTAGATGTTGCCATAGATTTCAACATAAAGGCACAGCCAAACTGCATTAAATACCTGTGTTCTTCCAGTATCTTCTTGATTGTCAGTCTCTGTCCTGTGGAAATAGTTTCTGGGGTGTCTGATGACTGACTGACAGGAAGGAGTCTGTGTTTGCTAAGATTTTTCCTTAAAAATTATTTTTTTATGTGCATATGGATTTAGTCTGCATGTGTGTCTGCACCATGTGTGTGCTTGCTGACCTTAAGTCAAAAGGTTTCAGATCCCCTGGAGCTGGAGTTATGGACAGCTGTGAGCAGATGTATGGGTGCTGGGATGCAAACCCAGGCCATCTGGAAGAACAGCCAGTGCTTTTAACCTCTGAGACATTTCTTATGGCCCTGCTAGTGTTTCTATAGTTGAATGTAGATAAATGCAGTCAGTATTGTAGAGATTCAGTAACAAGAACACTTAACAAGCCACTTGTTTGTGGTGGGGGGAAGAACTCTCTTGTCTTGAGAGTTCAGTACTGCAGGCTGCGGAAGTGAGTTTATCAGTCTTTCTATTGCATGGATGTCCTTCCAGAATTCCTATTCCATACTGCTTTTTTAATGCTATCCCATCAACAGGTACAAATAGGTTAAGAAAACACCACTTGTTTTTAGTAAGTATCATTACACCTTTTAGAATTTATAAAAGGCTCTTCCATTTAGTATCACAGTTCTCCCCCTACCACACCCTCTCAAATTATGAACTTGTTTTAAAGATGAGGAAAGAGGCTCAGAGTTGGTGGCTGACTTGGTCCTGGGCGGTGCTGCTTCTCAAGTTCACTTCCACATTTGAACTGTGTTCGTTATGTGTACATAGGTGTGTAAAACTGGAAAGAAAAACCTTTGATTTTTTTTTTTTTTCAGATAGATTTCAGATGAATCTAAAAGG